CGACACGTGCACGCTAAAACGACCCGGACAAAAATGAGAACGAAATACGGTGGTTAAAAATTGCTGCTCACAATCACGGCTAATTGCACTTACATCAAACAAGGAAATTTCTCTCCTCTACGCGTCGGCTGGAAATACCGTGCTGGGCGTGAGGAGACCGGTCGCGTCCCCTCCTCACCCCCGTCGCCAGACACCAGCCTCACCAGTAGCCCCCACCTGCCCTCGGGGCGAGGCGGCCGACACCCCCACACAGACGCTCAACGCGAGCCGCCACCTTTCCCGGTGTTGTTCTGCGTGTCTGCGCCGGAGCAGCCGCATCGATCGCCTCTCGCGGCCGCGGCCGTTGTGACGTCAGCGGCTTGGCCTGGCTCCAGGTCGGCCACGGCCCGAGCGAGGCCGCCGGCGCCGCCAGCAGTGCCGCCGTCAGACGCCCCCATGCTCGTCTGCCTGCCGCGCTCCTGTGTGCCCGACGCCGAGTTTGAGCTGCGCCGCGAGCTGGTCGACGGACGGCAGGGGCGCAAGATGCGTCGCGGTAGCCTGCTGGCGTCGGTGGCGCGCGCCGTGGCCGCGGAGCTCGAGGCAGCGCCCGCCGCCGAGCCGGTCGCCACCGCCTACCACCTCTTCAACCACGAGGTCAGAGGACGGGCTGGCAGCAGCGGCGTGGCATCCTCTGGCAGTGCTGCAGCCATGTGTCTGTATGACAATGTGGCCTCCGCTGCAATGGACCCTTGCGAGGTTATCAAAAAGCACGCAGATCGAATGCTGCTAATTTCAATTATGCAGCCAACTATATGACAGTAAAAAATGATGTCTTGCGTCTCACGAAGAGAGCAGGTACGCTAATATCAAGATAAATATCATTCAACCAGTACGTATCTACTGCAGGGTCTGACCGTCCTGGCTGCTGGGCGCGCTCCGGGTCAAGGTCGTGTGGAATCGACACGCAGGAACGCGACTGTTTTCAGCCAACACATCTCATTCTGAATATCTAACGACGAAATAATTGTTGCAATATCTTTAAATGCAGAAAGTGGATCTACTTCTCACAATCTCATGTGGGTCTAGGCACCGAAATTGTTTTTGAGGGCGTTCAGAGAACCTATATTATTCACTTTTTCTACTGGCAGAGCCGCTTTGTTTGACTGTAATTCTAAGCGTCAGCTTGCGATTTTGGTCCCGAGGGAATGGGAGGGCAGACTGCCGTCAAATCCCTGGAAATGCCCAAGCCGGCGCCTGTAAAGCATTTAGATGGTATCCCAACCCTGAGCTTGCGCGGCTTCCGGTTACTTCACACGCGACTGAAATTGTCAACACTGGTGCAGAACAACAGACAGATATTAGCGGACGCCGACGAACTCAGCCGTGTAGACCTCAGCCTTTACATGAATCAGCTCAGTTCAGTGTTTGCTCCGCGTTATGATGATTTGGGGTGGGTGTATAAGTCACATCTATGACCAAGGTTTGTATTTTGAGATAACCAAGGGCCCATGAGCCTCTGGATAATCTATGCAATAATCGAGCCCAGCTTACCCCGTACAAAGTTGGCTGGTAACTTCAGGACAGTTCATGACGACAGGAGAAAGTTGTCGCAAGAAGTGGTGTCAATTAAGTTCATTTTAGGAACAGAGTAGTTTCGAGAAGAATAAAAACATTTTGAGCGCTCAAAACTCGACAATGGACAGTCTGAACACATGCACAAGCGTTTGATTTCTTAAAAGGCATGTGAGATGTCTCTTGGTGATGCTAATCATGGCTGCGCTTGTCTGCTATGCATACCAACGGACCCGAATTACATCACAATGCTTCTGAAGTGGATTTATTGTTACCAGTCACCATGCCGAAATAATGACTGCAAAACGAAGGCGTTTCATGATCGCATACGTTAGCTAACATCCATGGCATCACTAGAGCAAAACCAACGATGCAGTCCTACTTCAAAATCTTTGAAGATTTTGACTAATGAATGTACCTGACCTAACCTTTTCGAGCCTGCGGACTGAAAACTATTTGTTAAAAAACGGGCTCCGCTCACCTGACCTTTCTGGAATCGTCTTTGTCGGAGGAAGGTGTTTTGTACGATTGCGGGCAACATCATTTAGGTTACGTTTTGAGGCACGTTTTTAAATCTAGATCTGACCCTAAGCTGGAAGTCTTAATTGGCAAGACTTAATGGTGCTCTGTTTTCAAAAGTGTGATGAGTTGCATCACGTCCAAGCAGTATCAGGGCGCTTTATTCCAAATCTATGCGACGGATGACAGTCTGGAGCCACTCAGCTGCCGCACAGCAGTTCACTCTACCTATCAGTGTACTTTCGCCGCATAAGCGCATGTGTCTTGGGCTGAGCGCGGTAAATCTGTTTTGCTTTTTGCTTAAGACCGTAGCAATCGGTGTGAATGCGCGTTTAAGGGCATAACTGCACAACTCTGAATGCCCTTACTGAGTGGATCGAAGAGCTCATGTGTCTCATATAACGCAAACCATTGGCATATGTTAGCTAAATATTTCGGGGTGACGTGAATGTCCTTCCAAGATGTCCAGTGTTACACGTTGTGTCAGCTGTGTATGTGGACATGTTGTATCGATGATACAATATACCGACGATCTGTCATTAACTGACTCAAGTCCGGTTCACACCAACAAAATGTCCAATGCACGGATGGTTAAAGCTCATAGTGTCCACAAGGTCAAAATTACGTCCAAAGTTCACAATTTCCATAAGTTCCTAATAATGTCCAAAGCTCATTATGTTTATAGCGTCAAAGTAGTCACATTAAGTAATGTCCTAAAATCAAAAAATAACTTCCAAAAGGGCTCAGAGTGGAGGTCGGACATAACGTACATTGGACATTCTATACCTAGCACATTACGAACTTTGCAGTGTCAGCCAAATAGGCAAGTGTTTTTTGAGGAGATTGCTTTAAACTTTCTTATGCTGTCATGCGGTTCATCTTTAAATTCCTCATGCAATAAGTTATTTTTGTGACGTGATAGACTCTCTTTCCACCCCACGTCGTAACAATGGCTCTCGCAGCCAGTGATCTTCTCCCGCGGTTCTCGTCCCTCCGCTTCCATATACGCCAGGAGAAGCAAATGTCCTCGTTCATACTTCACGCAACAAAGCGCACGGTTTTTTTCCGTTACACGCTCAAAAGCCACGACAATCCTATCCATACGCAACCAATTGTTGGAATTTTCAACTCGTTCCGTACCTCGAGGAGTCGTTACGGAGGTGGTCCGATTATCCGGAGGCTGGCGGATTTGTTCTTCGCTTGAAAACTTCTGTATTTTCTTCTTGCAGCAATCCATTTCAAGGCAAGACCGCCAATTGGCAACAAAAAAAAACTGAAAAAAGCCTCATGAAAGCCGGTTCCAGATTTCGACGACACGCGTCGCAGCGGCACGGTTGACTAACCGGTATGCTTAAGGAGGAGAAAATAGACAATGGTTTACAAAAAAGTGTGAGTCGATTTACACACAAGGTCACGTGCTCTTGTGCGCAAACCATGTATTCAGCCGTTTTGGGGTATTTAAGGAATCATGTCTCTGATGCCACATCTCAACAGCTAGTACTGATTCATGTGTGTATCCAAATAATCGGTGCAGGTGAATAAACCGGCTGTAACTGGCTGACTTATCTACAAAAAGTCCACCCCATTGTTCGACAGGATTCGACCGGGAACAGCCAACGTCACCTTTGCCGAAACCGACCTCGGATAGAAGGGCTCTGTGGCCTAAGCCGAGGAAGGCTTAGCGTTGAAATCTTCACATCTGCGTAGCCGCACTGATTGCGACAGATATGCTAAAACTATTTGAATTTTGCAGTATTTCTGTCATGATTGAAAACCAATTAATCGTAGCGAGTTTATCGCTGTTCTCGATTCGGATTGTCTAGTCTGGCCGGACTAATAGCCAACAATTTGTTAAGCAAACTATGGATGAATTGGGGCGTGAATCCTGCTCCAGTAAACTTACGTCTGTCAGATTTCCGTAAATCTTTCCTTTCAAACGCATGAGAGCACGCTGTTGCTTTCAGTTTCCGGAGGCATGTCGCTTTACTACGGGTAATCCCTTGGTGTCATCTAGGCAACACCTGTTAATTTCCGCATTTGCCTGTTGTCGTCAAGCGCGTTCCACGCCGCACAAAGCCTTATTATTAGTATTGGTAACATTAGGTTTGCATAGACCGTTCGCCGTCGAAATTAATATCGTATGAGCTTGTATGGCTTCAATGCATCTCAAATCTTATTCAACTTTCGGAATGATGTGTCAAATGCTAAATCACTGAAAAGCACGTGTTTGTTACTGGCTACGGTAACGTTAGTCATTACGCTGCGAAGTCGGATAGTGACTTGGAAGGGATTAGAGGTAAGCCAGTTTATTTTTTTAACCAAGAGGACACTGCGTGCGTTGCGAGGCCAGCCGGATCATATCCGATGCGGCAGTTGTACATTTAGGAAATGTGGTCATGAAAGAGCATATGCATGTGTAAGTTAACCAAGGTAAATGTTGATCGAGTGGTATTGGAACATTGGACATATTGTCCGATGTACTAATGCCACTTGCACAGCTGTACAGCCAATTATTGCCAAGCTCAGCGCATTATCTGTTTCCATGCTTTTCTAACAGAAAGACCATGTTTGCCTCCCTATTTCAAGACACATTTCAAGGGGAGATATTCTTCAGCGTTTGTGCCTCGCACAAATCAATTCCTGAAGATTTGTGCTTCTTGCTGCTGAAAACTAGCTGAGGCCGTATTGGTGGTTGTTTAGGTGTGATTCTTTTAAAAATGTGGAAACAGTGCTGGGGGCAAACGTCTAGGTTGACAACTGTCTTCCTCAAACGGCTCGCACTCGGCGAGCGGCATAACAGGGGTCGCAATTGAAAAGTTGGCCTCCAGGGAAAAAATAATACAGATGAATATGGTAGCTTTTCATATGGTACCTTCAGCAGACTGACGCAGGAGAGACTATCCTGGTGTGCCGTGTTAGGATATTCTGCCTCTCGGCCTGGCGAAGCATCTACACAAGGGCCTCGGTCGGGGGAATCTGTTGTAGAGTGGAGTTGTGTGACAGTAGTTTTGTACCGAGCACCGTCGTATCGCAAGATCGTAAAGAAGATAAGGGATGTCGGGAACATTTTTGGCACAGAGGGTTGGAAAAACCACTGCATTTATTGTAAGTTGCGGTGTTAAGCATCAGATGTGCGCACACAGCTCACTGAGGCAGCTCGTTTTGCATTGCATTATAGTATTGAGGTCCAAGGTTTCAAATGCGCAGCAGGCACATTGTCTTTGACAATTTTGGTTGGTGGTAGTTTTTTATTCTTCAAGACATCATCATAGATCATCATCATTCTTAGACAGGAATTGTCCAGTATGTTTACACATTGATATGCTGGCACATAATTTGCAGTGAATACATCACTTGCCTGAAAGACCTGACTGCTAATGCTGAAAAAGAAGGGAAACTCTGTAACATCAAGCAGTATAGCATGCATGATGCTAATTACAGTAGAGCTGGTATTGATAGCTTTTGTCTGGTTAGAAATATGTTGCCCTGGCTACACTTTGCAAATATTGTGAGCTTGTAATTGAATAATGCATATTTTTAGAACTCCCCTAAGCAACACAATTTTGCATTGGTTTTGAACAGGAAATTTGGCTCAGTGAGCCGGTGGCTGTGTAACCAGCGTCAAGATGAATGACTATGCTATACAATGTATGGTGATATGAGGTTTGTGCAGTCCAAAGAGCCACATTCTGATCAACCTGTTGAGCTTGAGATGCTTTTATGGGAAGGGTATCCCCATAGCCACACTTTTCAGTGACTGCTCTATCATTTGCTGGGTCTAGAGGCCATTCTAGAGAGTCTTTAAATAAAAATTATTTTTCACACTTGTGCTGCATATGAAACATACATTTGCTGAGCTGATATGGTATAGCTATCTGTTTTAGGATTGCCCTAGTATTTGACCAGGTTGTAAATCAACCCAACCATGTGTTTCAGACACAGCAGAGCTGGCGGTTGCAGAACACATCAGTGGTATCTCAACTATGTCAGCGCAGCTTCCTACCATTCTCATATCCATGTCTGTCATTGCTGGTGCAGCAGTCTGCCCAGTACACCACCGCCCCACCCAAACCACAGCTGCAGCTGCCGAGGCTGCCCCTGCCTTCCCTTGAGTCAACCCTCACAAAATATATGAGGTAATTTGATAGAAAAGTGTAAAATGTGGTGTGGCTTTTTGTGATCAGAGGAGATCAAGGGAAAACAGGGATAGTAGCTTTTTACCTAGACCTAACACAATGGGAAGGTGCTTAGTTGCAAGCTGGAGACAACTCCACTGAGGTCACAAACTCAGGACCTCTGATACTGTCCTGAAACATGCTGCACTAGGTAAAAGGTGCAAAGGCATCCCATGCCATTCCAAGAATGCCTGATGAGCAGGTATGGCAAGAAGAAAGGCAGCTGCTTTGAAGTATGGTGTATTCAAAAACTGACTATTAACACTGTGGCAATGCTAAAAAAGGAGTGAGTGGAATCAGTAAACAGATAAAAACGTGTTAAAAGCTGACCCTCACTCTTGACTTGTATTGACTGTATGATATTGATCAATTATTATTGTCACACCACCAATTATCTTGAGTCTGTTGCTGCCTCAGATCTCTACGGCCGCTAATGAATCCGGATGAGCTTGTCTCCACTGAGCAGATGGTCAAAGAGTTCCTGAAGCCGGAGAGTACGGGGCAGAAGCTGCAGAAGTTTCTGGAGGAGAAATGCAACAGTTCAGATAACTGGGTAAGCTGCATGACCCTAAGTGGGTGTGCTACACAAGTGTATGGAGTACTTAGAGAGCGTAGTTTTTACGATCTCACTTTTGCTTTGCCTATACATTCTATTCATTATTGTTTTTGCTTTAGTACAGTGCAAGACAGTCGATGACTGCGAACTGTTCTGAGGTTTCCACCCTACCCATGTCTATTTTTAATGCATGTGACGTCATTACCGTGCTTTCCCGTGACATAGCACCGTGTCATAACACCGAGACATAACATCGTGATGTCTCCGTGGCCGGCTTGACCGAACTGGACCTAAGGCCGGGATGCCTCGACGCAGGCCTGAGCCTTAAACAGGCAGCCATCGTTTTTCGGCGGCGCGTCTTGCCTCGCTGTGGGCTGCGGCGTTCTGCCGTACGGTGACGTGTGACTGTCGGCGCCGCCAGCTGGCTGACTGGTGGCTGAACACCGCCTATCTGGAGTACCGCTCGCCCGTGGTGGTCTGGTCGTCGCCGGGCCTGGTCATGCCGCTCCAGCAGTGGGACACGCAGCAACAGCAGCTCAAGTACGCCGCTCGGCTCATCTCCGACGCCATGGGCTTCAAGAAGCTGCTCGACGAGTGAGTGCTAGGTGGGGCGGGGAGGGGCGGGGCGGGCGGACCCAGGCCGCAGCGTGCGCGGCGCGTGCGATGGAGCGACGGAGGCGTTCGGGACGGTCGGGACGGGATGGTGCGATAGATGGGGTATGTTTTTTGTTTGAAAAGGAATGCTACGCACGTCGTCACACCCGTTTTAATGAGCGTTAGCAACTGCATTGGCCATAGTAGCGCCCAAGGGCCATCGCGTTACTGAAATTCAAACCCGGGCTTCCCACGTGGAAGACCGACGTGGTGGCCCGAGACACTGTGCGAGGTGGAGGCGCAGTGGTGGACAGTGCAGTTGTGGGTAGATGGAAACCAGGATGGCGCGTTCCCCAGCTTTGACTGATGCGTTGGGGTTTCCACGGGGGCCGAGTGCTGGATGAATGTCCATCGTGCAGGGTTTATCGGGTGATATCGCTTGTGGCCCACATCGGACTTCTGTGATACGCATTTGTGACAAAGGCTGGGTTGTGGCCTGGATGTCCTGCCTCACCAGTATCCTATTGTTACCTGGTCTGCTCCCAGATTTCCTCCGCCACGGCGACGGGGGCTGTGACGCGACCGAGATAGGTCCTACTGTACCATGACCCAGCCCAACCTTGGTCCTTCGGCACGCCCGTGATCTGGCCGCCGTGACCCGTCGTGACCCGACCGCTGCGCAGGGGCCGGCTGCCACAGGAGTACGCCGGCCCGGACCCGCTCGACATGCGCCAGTACCAGGACGTGCTGGGCACGTGCCGCATCCCCGGCGTCAGCCACGACACGCTTCAGTTCCACCCGAGCTCCGAGCACGTGCTGGTGGCGCACCGCGGCCACGTGAGTGTCGTTCCGGCGAGCATCCGGCGCCCGGACCAGCAGACTCGCCGCTGCGTCACGTGACGCGACGCTCGGTTTTTGCGCCTGTCGCGTTGTCCTGAGCTGGGAATGGACCAATTTCCTGCTACAACTGTGTGAAAAAAGAGAGCAAAAAGTCTGCAAAAAGAGAATTCTTGGACAGCGTACGAGTTCAAGTTGGCCGATTGCCGTCCTTCACAGGCTTTAGGCGGGTCACTGCGTCGTGCCACTACTGCGCTGCCTGTTTCAGTTTTTCACCCTGAAGACGTACGGCCGCCACAAGAAGCTGCTGAGCGAGCCGCAGATCTATGAGCAGCTGTGCAAGATCGTGGAGGCGTCGCAGAAGGAGGCCGCGCCGGTCGGCATTCTCACCACCGAGAACAGGAACGTCTGGGGCAAGGCGTACAACAAGCTGCGCAAAGGTGGGCCGATTGCCGTCCTGAGCTCTGAGCTCTCGCGCGTAGGGCGCTGCCGCGGGTGCACCTCACCCTTGGCCCGCGGGACGGCGTTAGGGCCTTCTTCATCTGACGTCACATGCACAGCGTGCAGCTTTCGAAAGAGTGGTTAGCAACAGCGCGTCCGTCCCTGCCTCACACTTGCATGTTGCCCCCCAGACCGAGTGATGACGTGTGATGGCTGCCAATATCAACCATCGCTGTGGCTGCTGACACTTCCGCTCCACGGATTAAGCGCATTTCCGGGAAAAGGCGAAACTTATGTAAAAAAGCAGCAAAGGCGCAGTCTCTTTGATGATTGTGAAAGGAATGTCATTATGCGCCAGTGAGGAATAATGTGACGGGATCGCTGAGCCATTCTTCGTTTTCCCCACCTCAACATCTTTGCAAGCTTCAGCGGACTCCTCCTCGTCCCCCCCCCCCCCCCCACCCACCCCCCGTAACGGCCCACCCTGCTAACCGCGCGCCTCCTATCCAGACAAGCAGAACCGCCGCTCGCTGGACGCCATCCACTCGGCGCTGTTCGTGGTGTGCCTGGACGGCCCGGGCGCGCCGCTCGAGCTGAACCAGCAGACGGCCGCGGCGCTGCAGTGCGTGCACGGCGGCGGCGCCGCCTACAACTCGGCCAACCGCTGGTTCGACAAGTGCATCCAGTTCGTGGTCGGCTGCGAGGGCAACGTGGGCATCACGTACGAGCACTCGCCCGCCGAGGGTGTGCCGGTGGCGCGCATGATGGACTACCTGGTGCAGCACCGGACCGACGACGGCGGCCGGCTGCCGGCGCTGGACCCGGCCGAGCCCGAGCGGCTCGCCTTCCGGCTGGACGACGAGCTGCGCCACGAGCTGGCCCGCGCCCAGGAGGATCTTGACATGTGGGTGGTCCCATGTGGGTGTGCAGGAGCCGGGAGCGGGCGCCGCAGGAGCGCGGCAGGGGTGTGGGGGACGCTTGGACGGGGCAGGTGTTTACATACGGTTTTACGTTGGTTTGTATTTTCAGTTTAACGCTGGGTGCTTGATGCACGTTTTTCACTTTCCGGTGACTGGGGTATCGAAACTACCTGGAGCGGGATGTCATAGAGGGTCTGACCGTGCTATAAGCTGATATCGCTGGAGTTATGGCATTCCTCATTGGCCGTGTGCCAAGAAGCTCGCTAATCTGGGAACGTTCTTCGACTTAACATCCTGACAGAAATCGACGCGCTTCGATGAAAATAAGACATTCCGAAGTTACCCTGGTGACATCCTGTGCTTACAGATGTGCCTGCTACCCCTCCTGCCGATGACGGCGCGTGTCGTCCTGTCTCCGGGCTGTGTGTGGGCGGAGGCCACTCTCGCTCCCCGCCCCGTGTTTGTTTCCGTCCGGGCCGGGCCTGGCCGGTCCGCCTGGCTGTGCGCCCGGTGGCCGACACACGCCCTGTCGCAGTTGGCGGCCGGCGGCCGGACACGTGCGGCCGGCGGCCCGCGCCCCGTCAGGCCGCGCCCCCATCGTGTATAAATACCCAGCCTGCCCCTCCGGCGGCGCCGCCGCGGGTTACGGTCAAGGACCGCGCGGCGGGTGTGTCATCGGCGACCGCCCGGTCGCCGGGGACCTGTTTATGTGCGGCCCTCGCGCCAGGTGTTGACATGAAGAGCTGGGGAGCGGGGAGCCGGGAGCCGGGAGCCGGGAGCTGGGAGCCGTGACCCCAGGCGGACGGGACCGGTCAGAACGGTGAGATGGCCTCGAATGTGGCGACGGTGGCGGGCAGGGCTGAGCTGATGCTGTTTCTCAGGATGGTGCAGGACCTGGACATGGCCTGCTTCACGTACCCGGGCTACGGCAAGAAGTTCATCAAGTCGCAGCGGATGAGTCCTGACAGCTACATTCAGATGGCCATCCAGCTCGCCTATTACAGGTTCCGAGTATCCTTCTTTTGATTCGATGGGAGTTGGTGCGGAGTGTTGCGGCGTCCGACTGGGCCGTTATTTGAAGCTGTGCACAGGCCTCCCACCCAGGCCTGGTGTTATTTACACCTGAGTGGTGTCAGCTCAGTATTGCGTCGGCGGAATCGATGGTGCACTGAACCGACATCAGAAACATGGTTTTCTTTTTTCCGATGCTATCTTCTTTGAATCAAAGCCATTTGACTGGAGAACGATTGTCTGGCTAGGAAGAGTGGGGCGTTTTGGAGACTGATGTTGGCTTCCACGGGTCGGCCTCAGGTTAAGTTGAACGTTCCCCGTCTTCCCAAGATTGCATTTTTCCCCTTTTTCTGAGTCCGTGTGACCGTCCCTGGATATCGGTGAGGGCCGGCCGTCCTTCATCCCCCCATGCCGCTGACCCGACCGGAGCTGAACTCAGTCGGTCTCCAGGCCACCGCTCCTCTGCGTGTTAGACCTCCCACGCTGACCTGAGCTGACCTGACCTGACCAGGATCCACGGGGAGCCGGCCGCCACCTACGAGTCTGCCGCCACGCGCAAGTTCTCGCGGGGTCGCACCGAGACGATCCGCTCGTGTTCGGCCGAGTCGCTCGCCTTCTGCCGCGCCATGCTCGACTCCGTGCCCGACGCGCACAAGGTGGAGGCCCTCCGGAACGCCATCAACGCCCACAAGGAGTATGCCAAGGAGGTGAGTTGTCGCCCGGTCAGCGGCCGCCGTGCCAACGATGTGTGACGAGTGGGTGTGAGGCGGATTTCAAATAATTTGCGGGTTGGTGATGCTGAAGGTCGGCGAGGTACGCCAGGCCGGCGTCACGGGACTGGGTCGGCGAAGACGACGAGGTTGTTGGTTTCATTCGCGGAGGCTCATGCGAGTATTTTAGTGTACTGTCGTTGCAGGTGTGAACAACTTGTTATTTAGCAGATATGGGCTTGCTGGCTTCCTTCAACAGCGTACCTTGGTGTACGTGCGTAGCCGCAGGAAGTAATCGGTATATAGCTGGCTACTGTGCCAGCATGTCTGGCGTAGAGACTGATGCGAGGCTTACAAACATGAAGTGACCGGTGCATGTCTCATAAGAGGAGAGCCGCGTGACCTTTTAAATGCTGGACAACTTTCGAGACCTGTTTGTGATGTTCAGTGACAAAGCACCAGCTATTTTATTATTTGAACGGCGGCTTCCGCCTGACGAGACAAGAGCGTGCTGCATCTGTCATTAATTCACTAGTCCGTCGTTGTATTTGTTGCACAATAGATAGACTTCCTCCGCTGCTCAGCTGGGCAGGTGAGGGGGGGGGGCAGGTGACCGTCCCCGTCCCCATGCTGCTCTTCCCCGTGCTCTGGCCGTTCGCTAGCTCCCTCCGCTGCTCAGCCGGACAGGGGGGCAGGTGACCGTTCCCGTGCTGCTCTTCCCTGCGCTCCGGCCGTCGCCAGCTCCTGCCGGCATTTTTTGATCGAGCTGAACAAACCCCCTTCCGAGACGCGAACTTGATGCCGCTAGTTTTGTCGGTCTAGCCGCCTTTTTCACGCGGGGACCGTAGCCACAGCGGCCTTGGCGGCAGTCGCTGCAGGCGCACCGCCTGCGTGCGGGCTGCTGCCGTATGTTGCGCGTGCCACGCGGCGTCGGCGGCGGCCCTGTGCGTGACCGGTGGGCTCGGCGCGGCAGGCGGTGAACGGTCACGGCTGCGACCGGCACATGCTGGGGCTGAAGCTGGCGGCCATCGAGACCGGCGCCGACGTCCCCGACCTGTTCATGGACAACTCCTGGGCCAGGAGCACGCACATGAAGCTCTCCACCAGCCAGGTGGGCACCGGAGACAGCTGGTGTCGGCGACAGGAGATGCACGTGCTTGTGTCGCCGACAGCTGACTGTTGATGGCGGTAACACGAGACGCTTCAGTTTCCCGGCGACAGGTAGCCTAGCAGCGTTGTGATTACTTCTTTCCCAGACGGCTGTCAAGTGATGCATGGACGCATTGAACAGCGCCAACCATTGCTGTTGTTGTTATCTTTTCACAGGGGATACAGATTGCATGAAATTTAGTCTATGCACAAGCTTAGATATCGCGTTCCAAACCGCAACGTTTGTTTGCAACGCAACCGGTCCCCGTGATAATACAGGGTCATGACATTGCACCCACGTGCGCGTCGCAGTCAACGTTCCACTTTGCCTATGGTGTCTGTCTTACCCCATCGCCGCCGCCAGAGGCGGTGCGCGGCGTCCCCGGCCGACCCTCTCCGCCCGGCCCGCAGGTGCCGGTGGTGGCCGACGCGTTCATGTGTTACGGCCCGCTCGTTCCCGACGGCTACGGCTGCTGCTACAACCCGCGCGACACGCAGATCAACTTCGGCACGTCGGCCTGCAACTCGAGCCCGGCCACGGTGGCCGCCGACTTCAAGACGGCGCTGGAGAACACGCTCAACGACATGTTCAACCTGCTGCAGCGCAACAGCGGCTGAGAAGCGTCACTGGGCCGCGGCGGCGTGCGCGCTGCAGGGCAGAGAGCAGCGCTCGCCGCCCTGCGGCCGGGGAAGAGCCGTCACCCGGCGAGAGCGGCCAGAGGACTCAGTCGTAGGCGGACACGTACGATTGTTCGGCTGGCTTCCAGTGTGAGCTCAGCTCGAGGCGAAACTTTTGTGTCCGCGAGTTGTTTGTCGGTGCAAGCAGCCCCTGACTTGCATTTTCCCCTGTCGCGCCAAAGATAATGAAAGAAGAAGGTCCCCTCGCAAGAAAGCACTGGGCCTTTGTCAAAATTGCACCATATTTCGTGTCTTAACAGAGGTCCGTGTCCAGTATGTGTTGTTAGTGCCAGTTTAACATGCACGAACCACCTGCACTTAAGACACTTGAGAAGGCGTTCTGAAGAAACTTAGGAAACATGTTGATTCTGGACGATAAGCTCTGTATGAAACGGATGTGTATTGGTCACATTTGCATTTGACACATTTACCATTTCTACCAGGCGACGGAGATGGCGTGGGATAGTCACTGCGCTGTACTGAGCCTTCCGTACGTCGCACCGATCGCACTGATTTCTGTGTAGTGAAGCGTGTGACGCCGTGGCGCCCATGCGTAGCAGATCTGGCGGTGGTGGCGGACTTCGTGGACAGTTTGGAGCTCCCATTAATGGTGTCTTCCTTCACATAGTCTACAATCCCAATGTTAAGACAGCTGGTCGCGCTTTGTTGGACGCTTTGGGTTGCACTGGGCGCCCCGGTACCTTTGAATGATGAACATTGGGGCATAGTTGCGTCGCGCGATTTTACAAGAGCGCGTTTGCCCGATGTTACACTACAAATCGCGTTCTTGGAGTTTGGGCTGTGACAGTCGAGCTTTCACAGCTGGCACCCACCAGACCGGCATCGAATGTTCGGATAAGCTGGATCCTGTACAACTGTTGTGCGACTTTCTGCGCTAAAGGCTTACCGCCTGCAAGAAGCCTCACGAGCCGCGCGGCTGGAGGTCATTGCTAACGCGCGCGTGTGTATGATAGTGACTCGTGGAGTGACCTTTAACGACCCCGGGAGCGTGGCGCCGTGACCACACAGCGCGTCGCGGAGACCGCTGGACGGGCGCAGCGGGGGTCGCGCAAATGGAGGAGCGGCGCTCTTCGCCGCCGTGGCCCGTGCATTTAATGCAACGTTTCCCTGCCGGTCGGTGGCGGCCGTTTCCAGTAATCAATGCAATTTGGGGGGCGGTGTCGCGAAGGCGGGTCCGTCCTGCCGAGTGCAGTGTGCTGTACCCTGTAAAATCCCAGCCCACTGTCGTGTACGACCTGAGTGAAGCATAAATACATGATGGGACGGCATTGAATGCCATACACGCTGACACGGTGGTGACCCGTTACCATGTTAAGACGACCGGTAAGTGGACGCCCAGATAGCCAGTCTTGAAAGTGAACTGGCGAGAGCCCTTGATCAACAGGGCCTGGGCATTGGTCCATTGGTTACCGTGATAATCTTCTGAATTGAAATATTCGACATACGTGTGGTCCATGATACCGTGAAATGTCGACTGACAGTTGTAACAATATCTCTTTGGACGACCAGATTTGGTTGCAAGGCATTCACATTTTACTACAGTTTAGACCATACCACGATGTTTTTGCGGCATGCGAGACAGTGACACTTCTCAGGCAGGGGTAGGCAGACTAACGTGCCCTGCAACTGAATGCACTGAAACAGTAAAACTACTTGGCTGACGTCCCTATTTCTAGAAAATACGACAGCGACCTTCCTCCTACCACGCTCTTGCCTAACGTTAGCAAATGTAATGTTCTGCATTTCCCAAGTACGGACCGAAATCGCTGGCGGACCAAAAAGCAGCGGCAGCGGGGTCAAGCTCCCTCCTAAACCGGTGAAAATGTGGAGGATTCTGCTTTCAGGCTTTTTATCAGCTGACGCCATACCCCCCCCCCCTTCCCCCCAATGAGATACGCTGGATCCGACCTTGGCTATTAGCAGTGGTAACATTCCGACGAAATGCGCGGCTGATGACACACAAACAGGTAAAATGACATCACTTAAAATGTATCTCACAACGGTACAAGTACGTACAATGTTACGTGGTAACTCCAGGGAGTGTGGCAATTGCCCCCACCCTGAAAAGAAACGGGTCACGCGCGCGACCATCACATGAACACATTACGTAGCCACGCGCTTCTTTCTCTGTGCCTTTTTCACCTTGGCTTTGATCGCATCCACATCAATGTCATTGTCCCTCTTCTTCTCCACCTTCTTCTTGGGTTCCTTGGGCGGCACGTACACCTTGTTTCTCTCCTCCGTCCTTTTGGCCGACTCTTGCGCCATCTTCTCTCGCTGATCCTTCTTTTTAGCCGCTCGCCGCTGCTTCTCAAGCATGAAGTACTGCCCCGAGGCCAGCTCCTTGTCCACTTTGCTCTCTGGCATAGCAGGCGGGAACGGCGTGTATGGCTTCTTCTCCCGTTTCTTCATCGGCTGCTTTCTCTTCGTGGTGTTTTTCTTCTTGAACTTGGGCAGGAAGCGCTCCCAGCTTTCGTTCTTCAGCTGCGGATTTTTGCTCAGCTCGCGCTTGATCATCAGCGACTTGATGTTATAGATCGGGTGGATATTCTTCATAGTATCCTCGACAACCTGGCGCACGTGCTGCAGGCCGCGGTAAGGCCCTAACGCCGCCACTGTGTTGCCCTGCACCAGCACGTAGCAGTTTGTCAGCAGCTCAATGGCCTTGAGCGTCGAACCATTGGGTCCAATCAACCGCTGGCGCCGCTTCACGAAGCGGTCCTTGTTGCGCACCAGCGAGCCGATCTTGATGATATCGGCGCCGATATCGTCCTTCATGACCTTGATGGCCTGCTCGTACGGCACGCTGCGCGCCATCAGCTTGACCATGTCGCGCGCCTTGATGATGCTGTATGGGTCCCAGGTCTTGCGCGTGGTGGACACAGCCATGCTGCCCTCGACCGCGTCCAGCTCGGCGCGGATGAAGTATGGCTCCAGCACCTTCTGCACGAGCGGCCACACTTCACGCAGGTATGCCTCGCGGTACTTGGGGAACAGCGTGGCGAATGTGCTGGTCTCGAGCACGCCATGCGGGTTGTGCTCCGGCAGGAACTCAGGCACCTTCAGCGCCCAGGCATTCTCCACAGGACCATCTGGTACCTCCTGCTCAGCGTCACTCATTGTGTAATCTGCACGGGCACAGCAGGCATCTGGTGTCAGCCACAATCACATGACAGGCATATATGCAGTGCAGGATTGAGATCAATATGACAACATGAAATCCATGGGACCAAGGGAAATCCACTCCTGATAGCTGCCAAGGGTGGCAATGAAGAGAGCCAGCCACCTAAACACCTGGAAGTAGCACCTTGCTCTTCGGAGCCACCTTCATGTTGCAGCATATAGGCCTAACCGCGAGATCCACAAGCTTGCCATACCACATCACACAAGTTCTAAGAAATTGATCCAGCAAGTTGCTGTCAATTGTTAATTAATATGCAATGTTGCTGGTGAACTCATACTTTCATCTAAATGTCAGGGGCTAATTCAATATTACAGTAATGTCCAGAGCTTGAAAAGCTCTTTGAAAAAACTTGGGTTTGATGATAAATGTTCATGACTACTGAACTTAAGCCAGCAGATACTACTTAAGCATGCTTGATGTGTAATCTTGTGATTTGTTTCACAAAAAACTTATTCTAAATTTTGGAGCATTTGGAAATGCTGCATCACAAGTTGTTCTGGCTCGATCAAACTTTGCCTTGATAGTTTCCTATGGTTCCATTGAAATTCATCCCATTCTAATTCATGATCCCATTTGAATCAATAGGTGCAAAAACATCTCAGTTTTAGGAGAATTTGCTAAAATTAGAAATTACATTGTCAAAAGACTCATTATTTAATTGCTTAATTCTTTAAGATGAACATGCAAAATGAACAGGTAGCCCAGCTACAATCCTACAATGGTAACCTTGTAAACATAAGTAAGCCTTAGGATACACTTTGAGATTAAGTACACCCTTTTACCCCTTCATACCTTTGGATGCATATATTCATGCCTACATCCTGTTTGGGTTGTTTGCATACTTTCAGTATGTTCAATGATGCTCGTCAAATTTGATAATAAGTGTTAAGACCACAACTAAAAAATCTAAACAAAGTGTGTTATATTCAATCTGCACCACAGCCTCCACCCACGGGGCATTGCGCATGTGGGTATGCTGGACAATCTTCAATATTGTTACTTTGCGGGTTGTACCACCCTGACCTTAAGGTGTCTAGTGTACGGGCTGCTAAAAACACGTGCGGCTCCCTTTACCTTTGGTAGTGAGCTTGCCTTCCTGTGCCCAATGCTATCTATGCCCGCGCCCACGCCAAGACGGCCCTCCACCCTTGCCCCTCACTGACTTCACTTTGCCCCCCACTCCGTTGCTCTGCGTATTCACGTGCCTTTTGAGCGACGCTATCTTGTGTTCAAGGTGTGTGAGTTGTTGTACTGAACAAAGGCTGTGACGCATACGCTAATGAGTGACGTCATCGGGAGAAGTACTGTAGATTTAACATCTTACAGCGCGGCAACTGCACAGCGCTGGCGGAGCCGGGCCGTGGTAGGAGTGCTAATGTTAAAAGCACACAGTGTCCAAGGTACATAAAGGCCACAGCACACAACGGCGACCTGTTGAGGGCGGCGACGCGCTCGTAGCTGCCATGAGGACAACGCCCGAGCTCAGGCTCAGCAACACAAGGAAGCGTTTGGCGAGCACTGGGAACAGTTCAGAATTTCTGTGGCAGTGTGCAGGTCCCAACAAGGTACACGTGGAGCCGTGCAGCAACATCCAAACGCATCACAGGAGAGCACACTGGGGTGTAGACGCGCACACGCAAAGTGCTGTTTGCGGTCGTCCGCGCCGACCACACCGGCCAATCATGAGCCTGTGGCGGTTAGCAAGACGTCGGACCCTAGAATCCACGGCTCGCTGCTTCAACAGCCGGGGATGCCAGCAGCTCTCCAAGGGCTGGCGAAGACCACAGATCAGTGGACGCGACGTGGGGTTCCTGAGGAGCTGGGTGACGGCAGCTCGCCGCGATCGCCAACAACTGGGATACACCACGTGCTGCCCCCGCTCCAACCTACAGTAGCCGAACCTAATGTAGCAAGGCAGTTAAGACAATGCATCACATTCGAAGATATTGATGCAGGTCTCACATATGATTAAATTAGCTCACTTTTAAGTGCAAACTACTCAAGATAACACCAATTCATTTTTAGTGCATATCCTGCTCAATACGTCATCCTCTGCGTAATGCAATGCTTGTATGGCGTCATAGGATTGTCAAACTGACGTTCGTCCAGTATTAAGCGGCTCAGAGAAAAAGCGGAGCCTCTCATTTAGATTTCTGAAATCCTTGATTGACCGCGAACTGCCACCTGTCTCGATCCCACCCAGCCCAGGCTTTTTTAACTCAGACATGTGATACAAGTACCTTGAGCATGATCTCACTTGCAATTCCATTTGCATTGCTTCATCCTTCCCCACTTTGACAGTCAGCCGTGATTTTACGGATCTTTTTGACTGATCGAACCTGCTGATGGCTGCGTGCCAGCGCGTAGTCTGTAATCTACCCGTAGTGTCGCAGGCAGCAACGTTGGAGTGTTTGCACCACGCCCGTAGGGTATTTGTAGGCGGTCATGCTCCAAGGATTCGGCATAGCAGCATCCGCGCACGGAGGTCAGCGCTACCGACGACGGGAAGTGCTTCAGCAAAACTTCTGATAAGAGCGCTACGGCATTACTCCTACTACCAATATCTATACACATTAATGCTATGTGATAAGCTTTGCGATCAATAACTCTATACCCGTCACAATTTCCACTGCGAACGCTTATGTACAACCATAACGTATGGACGACAGGTCTTCTTCTGCAAAAAAAACTTATAAGTCACGTTCCTCGTTAGTGTTGTGGAATATACTTACGCTCCAAGAACTAATGCCCGTCATTTCGCACGCTTCAAAAGTGTATACAGTCATCACCAATGCACGACATTACTTCTACCGCAGAAACTGGTGCAGTCTTGACGTATTCGCGACATTACTCGTACTGTCAATATTTTGCCGCGGAGTTTAAAACACGTAGACGCAGCAAGGATGTAGGTACAGTTTCCAGGTTAGGCGGGAGCTCCAACTAGGCAATACGGCATTGAAGGTGAGTGGTGCCAGTGCGAAAAGGTATATACTTATTATCCTGAGTAATTTGGTTGATTGTCGTGCTTGGCGCTTAAGTAAATACTGTAATTTTGGTAGCAGAGTCTCATTGGCGGTTATAAGTCTTCAAACATTGGTTTTGTCGTGTAGCATTACACCCTGACGTCGGCCATTGGAGACGTAGTAATGTCGAGTTTTAGTGAACATCAGACCAGAGGTGCAGTTTCATTTTCAGTCAGGAACCACATCCATTCGTCCTCTGTGAATCAAGGGTACCGATTTGTATTCTTTTGGGTCCGCCACTGACCTCCAATGTTCAACCCCTACCTGCAACGGTGAGCATGACCCCAAACATTTGAAACTTACCCAAAGGGAGAGCATTAAATCAAAACAGCTACACGAAACCAGAAACGGCGGATACCCCAGCAGCGACCGAATGCATACATGGAATGCCATCAATTCGGATGACTTTTTCCATCATTTCACAACCAAGTCCAGCAGGTACAAAGGTCAGGACGGGTCTTCAAATATGACGTCCTCACGAACACCGTGATGTCACATCTGTGCTGTTTTGGAGCCAAACGACCACATACGCAGCGAAACAAGCCAGGGTCGTCAATGCAACCACGCGGCACCCGCACACCGTCCCCACACACGCCTGAAGTAAATAACACCGGTATACATCAGCCCCTACTGAAGTGCCCTGGTAGCACAGCCGCTTTACGGCATGTTTTTTTATCCTCTTGAGTTAATTGCACGACACATAACATCATTAAGAGCCTAATTCGGGCATCACAGAGTGGCTTAATTACAGCGACAGTTAAGATCCAGCATTATGATCCATCAGTGTCGGTCGAATACCCTTTGCTGGTGTGGGGATCAATTTGATCCTCTGAGATCTCAAAAACTAAAGCAGCTAGAAATGTCATATTCATAGGATAGGTTGCCATAGACATGATCTCACTCATGTGAAAATTTGATTTGCCTAGGTCATGACATTGGTGTCAAATAAGGTCAAACAAGGTTAAACTTCAGATCCAATTTAAGATCAGTGACTTTGTTTGACCTTTATGACGTTAAGGTGACCACATGCCTGCGAGATCGCTTCTCTTTTATCCTTATAATGAGCTTCAGAGCCTGATGGTATGCCTCCAAAACATATGTTGACCTAAGATTGTGGTTCAGTGACCTATTCCGATATTCAAGAAATTCACGAAACATGTCTTGCGGTCACCGTTATTGATAAATTCGAAATGAGCACCATAAACTAACCCATAAGCCAAGCTTTCGAGTAAAAAGGCAGATTATTTATTATCTTGGCCTGACTTTCATATCTGAACCTAGTTCAATGAAATTGGTTGTTATTCTAAATTCAATTGGTTTCTTGCCTAAGAGACTACCTCATGAACGTGTGGCTTTGTCTGACACTCCGTTGTTGCATCACGTTGAACGATTCCCTAGAAATGATCCTCGCTGACAGCCATGGCCTGACTTTGACCTGCCATAGGTCAGCGACCTTACAAGGAACATCTAATTTTTTACATCACACAATTATCTATTCACCCTTAAGAGCTATGCAAAGTTTGGCGCTGCTATGCCACCCCGTTCGGAAATCATTCTGGAAAACCTCCAGTGGGTCAATTTATCCCCCACTTGGGCGCATGTTAACATCCGCCTAACATGATCTTTCTGCACCTCTTCACCTGTTTCCTAATCTTGTATGACATGACTAGTAGTGATAATGGATAATCACTGCCAGTGAATCACAATGACTTGGTAAGCTAGTAAATAAAAATGGCCGAAGCAGGACAACAATGCGTCATTGGTTTCTCGTTGCACATCGTGCCACAAATCTTGGAGCCATTTACATTCATGCAATGCATCACCCGGATACAGGTCATGTCAAGTAAGGATAAGGCAATTCAGTATGAAAATATATCCCGTTTCCACAGTAAGAGTAAGTAAGTTATAAGTTAGTAATCCAGCTGAAATGTTTACACTGTGCTCATACACCTTTATAAGATTACGCAAATTTTTGGGGCCTACCAAGTGATCGGAGACCATATTTCCGCATGCTGAGACTCATCCATGGCTATTAGCAGCACTCAAAGGTTAAACACAACTGAACATTTGTCGCATGGGAGGTTAATAATTGTTCATTCAACATGTCACAAGATTCCTAAGCAATATAAACGCCATCCTGACACAGCGAAAGCTTTTAGTTGTGCACATGACAGGGAATGAGCTCTGAGCTCAATAATCTAATCCTTTCCTACCAATTCAATATGCATCAGTACAAGATTTAACATAAAAAATTCATTATCAGTACAAGGGCTTGAAACTTACCCTATGGGGCAACGGAAGGTGGTTGAGCTTACAGTTGACATCAAATGGAGGAAGCACCTCCTACTGCCTGCTGCATCACTTAAGTAAACAAGTGATCACATGCTGGCCAGACCATGTGCATGAGATGCCAACATTGCCTGAAGAAATAGGTAAGTCAACATGCCCGACAATACTGGGCATAACAGGCCTTTTTGCATTCCCAAACGCCACAGGCGATGGTCACGGTGAGGTAAGGTTTCCCTGGTGCAAGATGCGGATCTCTTACATTTGCAGAGGGAGAAGGGAGGAACTAGGGGGTGCGAAGATGGGACCCCACTCCACCAACTTTCAGACCTTACCTTGGCCCTATCTATGTGCGTAGACGGGAGAGAAGTGACCAAAAATGGCTGTTATCCTCCCCCTCCGACTAAGGAGGCTTCTGTTGCCCCTGTGCCTTTCAAATAATTCTGCCTTGATATATTTACCCACACTGCTCAACAACCAAGCAACAACCATATGTACGCAAACGCCCTGTCAAAAAAGCGCGCCCAAGTTGGTGAAGTTTGGCTCAGCACGATTGTTGGCAGCTGACCATAGTTCCCGTGGGGCGCTCGCACCAAGCTTGAAGAATGTTTTTCAGCAATCGTGCTCAAATAATTCAACATTTCAATTTAGCCCCCTGTTCTCCAAACCCTGTGATCGTTCCTAACCCGCAGCCTCACTGCGCAGGTCACTGAGCAGCCCAGCAGTGCCGCCCGGCCTCAGTGGTGCCCACTTGCCCGCTCGCTGAGAAGTCGCTATGAGGTGGTTCAGCCGGGTGCTGCTCTCCGCCCTCGCTCTGGCGCTGGTCGCCCCGGCCGGTACTGCACGTGAGTAGTCGGGGCAAAGGCCCTTGGGTATCATGTATGCCCCCT